AAATTTTACTCATCTTTATGGCAATACTTCTTGTTTTAGAAGATATTTTTTTGGTGAGAAGATGAAGAAATCATGTGCTATGGCTGACAGCTGGAATGTACCAAATGCAAAATCAAATATTTACCGAACTTTTTTATTCCGCATTTTTCGTCGATTCATTTAAACGTTTTTACTCTGCGACTAAATTTAGAACAGTGGACTTGTACAAATGCTTTAAGTGTGCAGGAAGATCCAAAAATATTTAAACGTTAAAAACATTTGTATGTCAGTGAATTTAAAAATTTTTGTAAAGCAGTTTCAGAGAAATGCATAAAACTGAAGGAGTTTATAAAACATATATATATATATATATATACAATTTTTTATACAGCTGTGATCACTAAAAATTAAACTCACTAAAAATCTGAAAATATATAACCACCTTTTAGTGCTCATAAATTTTATGTTCATTAAAAGTATTTGTTACCACTTGGCGCTATATTTTAGAGTTTCGAATCTGTGACTTTGCTTTTGAACTACGCATATCACAAATCATTTGCAAACAAAATTAAATTGTTGTAGCTAAATCAAAAGTTAAACATTTAATTTTTTAACATTTAAGACAGACAGAGTGTTATTTATATCTTTTTTTTTTCTGTAAAGTAAATCTTACTTTCACCTTTGAAAACGTGCAAGCAACAATTTGTTCATTTACAGCATGAATGAGCTTTCGTATCTCTGAAACTGAAACCCTATTGAAGTTTGGTTGTGAAGCTATATAAAATAACATATGTGCAAAGATTACTTAATATTAAAAGGCAAAATTAAAAGATGCTTGTATCAGTGATATAGCAGTTATATATCTTCCTGCCGTAAGATCCCGATTCACTTGTAGGCCATGATTCATAAGGCTAACTGCCGCTTTTCAGTATTTATTCTGAGTTATTTAATATTCCGTTACGAATAAAGAGCTTTCTGTAGACATACTTGTTATTAATAAATTTGTAATATTAAGTTCTGTTAAAGTGATCTTTGTTATTTTATGCATTTACATTCTAAGAGCATTACTGTACATTCCTAATTTGATGAAATGCAAATTTAAATGTTTATTGACTTTTTGAATCGCCCTGTATACTACAAAAATATCTTAGACCTATATGTCACAGTTCTCGAAAAGGATTTGCTTCTACAGTAAACGTGTGCTTAAATCTTTTCGTTAAACAAATATGCAAAACTGTTGTATGATATATGTAGGTCATTGGAATCTGAAAGTTTATTTTATACGGAACAGCGAATAGAGGTACGAAAGTATGCGCTTAGTAGTGGAATTTTTTAACGTAAATTTACACCGAAGTGTTTTTTTTTTTTTTTTTTTTTTTTTTTTTTTTTTTTTTTTTTTTAAATTTTATGCAAGCATTTAAAAGCTTTCATGAGTTTAATAATTACAAAAAATCAATGAAATGATGTAAGGATATTTGGCATATAATAACTAAATAACATGAGCTGTATGAAAATACGATATTTTTCAGCAAAACCCTAAGAACTTTTGGAATATGGATATGATAGCATCAATTTTATAGTTATTAGCTTGGTGGGAAGTAACCACTGTCTTCGGGTTTAGAATTCGAACTCCATTCTTTCCCAACAAAATTTGATTCTATCACGTGGCTATGTGTATCATGCTTAGAAGAAGATTTTGTTCTATTGTGTATTTGGCAGTGATAATTGAAAATTTTGACATTAGTTTTGAGGCTTTTGAATTAATGATTGGAAGAAAATAATAGAGGAGTATTTTTGAACGAGTTCATAATGAGAAATTGTAGAGACATTAGGATTTTTAGAAGCCGGAGAGATGAAAAATTAGCAACCGCCTTCACCGGGAATCGAACCACGACTTCTTAAATACTGACCCAGCGTGCAGAACCACTACACCACGAAGGCACGCTAGGAAAGTGATAGAAATAGCTTATATACTTCCGTTTTTAAAAGGCGACTGGTTTGGGGTTTCCAGGGGACCCAATCGCTAAATCCTGGGTGTGGAGAAACCTCATCGAACACCCTTTTAGTTTGAGCGCCACTGTAGAGACATTAGGTTAATTGGAGGCAGTAAAGATGAAAAATAGCAAACGCCTTCGCCGGGAATCAAACCACGGACCCCTGGAATACCGGCCCAGCGTGCAGAACCACTACACCACGAAGGCACGCTAGGATGAAAGTGGGAGAAACACCTTATAAAATAACCCAAACGAGATATTCTCAAAAGCAACAATGCTTGTTGTTGGATACGATTAAAAAACATATCGCGCAGTGTTGATTTGAAACATTTTGTGCTGGAGACGAAAGCTTTAACGTTCTAAGAAATCGTATCTGTATCTGATAATAATTAGCTAAAGGCATTAGTTGAAATACATTTGTACACAGTAATTTGGAAGAAAATATTGCATAAGAATTATGCATGAAACATCCGCTAGTTCTTCATTTCTTTAAATAGCCGGAAAGATCAAAGCTTGACATATGGTTGTTTTATGAATAGGTACAAGAAACATTGTTACTAAGTGCCTTCTGTACCTCTTTTGTGCAAAATAACGACCCATTTCTCTATCGTATTATAATGAGTGACGAAACGTAAATCTTCTACGCCATTCACAACGATGGCTGAGCAACAATGAAGTTTACCAAAGGGCTACCTGAAATCGAAGACAAATCCAAAAAAGGCTGTGATGGCTTTTTCATGCCTCTGCAACTAGTATAATAGATTATCCTTTTTTGAGCAAGACGAAATCTGTACAGCAGGTAAATATTATTAGAAAATCTGAAAAATGCACCATGAACTTCGACGTCTTAAGCCAGCAATGGTCAGTCGCTGTCCAGTTCTAATTCACGGCGGTGCCGGACAGTACGTAAGATGGTAGTTAAATGACACTGCAAAACTTTGTTTCATACACTATACTGACTGAATCTTTCTTCCAGTATCTTCCGTTTCTATAAGCATTTAAACAGCTTCCTAAGAGATAAAATCTCTAGCACTTAAAACTTCTGCTGGAATAGGTAGAAACATTGCAGCGATCATTTCTTTCGAGATTTATTCAGTGTTACAGCTCCAGATATTTATGCTGTATGAATAAATAAACTTATATTTCATTGGGAATAATTTCCGTGGTGGATATTTTGATTCCGAGTGTGGCTATTTTGATTGTATGTGTGTTTGAATTTAAAATTTGTAATCCGCAATTATATCCTTACTGGTTTAAAATTTATGTATGGTAATGTTTTAAAATACAGGATGTTTTATATTGAGTGGGCAAAAAGAATAGCATAATACAAATTCTGTAATTGTTTTATTAAGCCAAAATTAATTCTGAAACTACAATTATACAAGTTTTATATAGCACCAGTGAAAAATCTTCCGGTTGCGAAATCGCCGCTAGAGGCTCTGTTAACAAAACTAGCGGCATTCATGCAGAAAAAGCCTACTGTTTTCGAATACGCCAAAACATCATCGTTATTGTCGTTAGAAGACATTTTCGCACAAAATTTGGTAAAGAAACCACTACATCATCACATAAGCGATGGATGAAGCAATTTTAGGTCACGGGCTTCTTGTTTGAGAAAACCAGCCTTAGACGAATAGCAGCCAAAACCGAAGTGGTTGAAAAAATTCATGAAACGATTTTACAAAGTCCCTCAAAATCAATCTGGGAGTTATGAATTCAGTGTGCCTCATGTAAGTGTATGACATTTGCTACGGAAACGTTTACAACTCCGGATGGTGCAAACGTTAAAACCTTCCGAAAAACCGTTGCGTAAAGCTTTCTGTGAGAAATTGCAAGATAAGCTATAGCCAGATGGTTTCGCGAGCAAGCTTAAGTTCACAATATGAAGCCACTTTTGCCATTTCTGGTCAAGTTAATCGCCATAATTTCCGAATGTGGGCCACGGAAAATCCACATGGTGTAATAGAACAGGAGCGTGATTCTCCAAAGGAGCGTGATTCTGCGCTATTTCCAACATCTCTATTTTTGGTCCCTTTTCTTCGTGTAAAAATCGCTTAACGGGTCCATTTACCCAGATATGCTAGCAGAGATTTTGTTCCGTCACTTGGAGGAAAGGGCTTCCGGCTTCATTCTGCAGCAAGACGGTGCTGCACCACATTGGCATAAAACCGAAGCCTGTTCCATTGCCGGATTGGCCGTGCTGAATCAAACGAAATGTCATTGCTTTATTGGCCAACGATATCTCCATATCTAACCCCTTGTGATTTTTCCTCTGGGGTTTTGTTGAAGACACAGCTGTCGTGCATCCATTTCCTCAAGACTTTCAGCTCGAAGAAGTGCTCGAATCACTGACAAAGAGTATTCTATCACGAATGTGGCAGGAACTGGAATACTGCAGATATTTGCCATGCCACCGAAAAGGCATACATAACATCTATTTAAACTTGAATAACTCTAGTTTTACTGTAAATTTTATTTGTTAAAATAAAATAATTACAGCTATCTCAGGTATGCTTTCTTCAGATCCCATTCAGTATGAAACACCCTATATTATTGCAGATTATTTATATATTATTAATGGAGTTAAATGTTTTGAGTAATAACTTATATTAATATACATGCCTATTCGTTCTTTAATACGGGAAGTATGCATTTCGTTTCTCTTCGTTCCGTTCTTCGCCAAGTGTTTGATACTGTTTGCTGCATGGGTAGATGCAAAGTGCTAAATGGGCAGATCTTTTGTTGTTAAAATGGCAAAACAGTACTTTTTTGATTCAAATCAGGAAGTGCTAAGTTTAAATTATTACTGCAACATAAATATTCATATTTATAATTCTCACGTATTGATATGAATTTGATAAATGAGCTGGACATTTATTTTTAGTAAATACACATGCAGCATTATCTTTTATTATTGCTTTGACTTTACTACATGCACAAACATGAGGAAAACTGAAAATAATTGGATAATGAATGCACAGTGCTAATCTTCTTTATCTTTTCTAACAGTTTGTTTATTTGTTGCAGGAGTGCCCGTGGCTTTATGCATATGAAGATAGTCCACAGCGATGGCCGATTCATTCTAGGACAGTTCAGCAATCCATTTTCCAGCATTCCAGAAATGATTCACCATTACTCAATCAATAAATTACCCATCAAGGGTGCCGAGCATATGTCTCTACTATATCCAGTCATCGACCAACTGCTATAACGTTTCCGACCTCAAATTAGAAACTATCCTAATGTTGCAGGCTATCGCAAATTTCGTTTCAACTGGCAGCATTCATGTGATTTTATTTTTCTGATTTGTTTCTTTGAATGATATATAAGTAACATGGTTTACTTTTTGGAATTGGAATTCTAATTGTAAGAAATGCCTGAAATTGTAATGGACTTGCTTATTAAACCTACCGCCAATATCCATGTCATACTTATCGACGACAGTCTAAAATTTAAAGTGGTGCATTGTTTACAAAGGTTAGTTCTGATTTAGCACTGTAATTAAGTAATAGATTTTTTAGGTATAGTATTAGGAAGTGTAAGTTTAAATGCATTTAAAATTGGCATTATATTTGTTAATTTATTTTGCCTATTTCTTAACCAGTTAGTACGTTGACCTCTCCGATTAAAAGCACAATTTATATTCATTTTGTTGCAAATTATATTCTTTTGAAAAGGTTCAGTTTTTTTTATAGGAAACCTACGTAAAATAAATGGGAGATTCGTATACTGTAACTAATATGTTCTTGTTACAGTCTGTTCAGTGTTTTTAACATGACTGCTAAGAGCCGTGTCTCAGTGCTGTTGTACTTAAATATCTTATACAATAAAACTTCCTTTTCATTAATTTTTTTGCTATAAACGAAATGTCTCTTTACATATCATATTTATAAAGAGTGATTTTTCAATTTTAGGAATCGTGTTGGATAATTAATTATTAGTGTGAGTTTGATCCTTTCTGATTATTTAAATTTGCATGAACTGTTTAGGAAATTTTTCCTTTAATGAGTGGTAACAGGTTTTTCACATAAAATGTTAATCGTGATGCAGGTTTATTTATAGATTCATTTTACAGATTTCAGTGCAAAAATTTTTTCTGTTATTAGCCTAACTTGACTAATGATTTTTTTAAACTTTTCTTTGTAGTTTTTTATGGAAACGATTTTTATCTTTTTAATCATAATTGATGTTTTAATTGCTTGCTGTGCTTAACGCATTTTTATTTTTTTATTACTATCACATTTTTAATAACAGTGCTATAATGTTTGTATGCATAAATATATATATCTGTAACATATCAAAAGTTGCTTATTTATTTAAAATCACATCTGTAATAAACTTTTAATAAATTATGATTATCTAAGTAATATTTCTCTGCAATTAGAATATATTCATCTTTAATTCTGAGTTAATTTAGAGTATAATTTCTTGAATTGTAGTGGTTGTTATGTTAAGTTATTCAATTACGGCAAAGCCTCGAGGGCTATCTGCCTAAGGGGAGGGATGCCTTCGTGGAGGACTTTCTAAGGGAAACTGGCTCGTATACACGTTACACACGGGGAAAACCACGAAAACACCCATGCAGCCAGCCCGTTCGCGGGATTCGAACCTCGGACCGAACTACCAGTGTTCAGCGACTTTACCGCTTGGCCGCTGGTGGGCTCAATGTTTGTGGTGTAGCTAACTAACTATAACTAACTAATTACTTAAAATTTTTAACTATAAATAATATATGAAGTATCAGAAGTAATGGGAAGGACGGTCAATTCGAAACACTGTTTAAACACCATAAAGGCTTAATATTACTTTTATGCATCACATCCTTATAACATTTTGCATAGCTTTGTTTAATGTTATAAGTTTTGCTGACGGAATATATTTTCTAGAAAGAAACTGCTTGTATCAAGTACTGTATAATTTAAAATAATATAATGGCAAGAGAGTATTAGAGTTTTTAAAAACTTATTTTTGTTATCGGAAGTTGCATACAAGAAAACTATTTTTAATGTCAAGTAATATCTTCAATTCAGAATTATTGAATATGAAACATGAATAATATCAAGTATTGCCACTTCCTAAATTAGCTTAGGACACAATTACATGTTGTATATTTTTTGATTTATTTATTCTATTCTATTTACTCATTATCTTTTCATGAATTAGAATTTTATGTTTAATATCTGGTTTGTTTTTGTCCTTTTAAATCATTTTAGCTTTCTAGTTTTTCCAGTAAATATATTCTTATTTAAACAAATAAAAGCATATAGCTGTGTACAAATCTATGGATTTTCGTCTTTCCTTCAAGTTTAGCTTAATAATTTGAACTTGTTAGTGCTTTTATAAAATTATAGACTTTTAGAATGTTTGCATTTAAAATAAATATTTTAATTTATTTAAAGATTTTTTACTATAAAAGTAAAGAGATTGTCAAATTTCCTTTTTTTATTCATAATTTTAAAATTTTAGATTAAATTGCAAAATTTAAACCTTAATACGTGGCAATATGTTTGCGTAAAAAGGTTGCATTTTATGCTATTTCTATCTTCCAATTTTAATATCCGTAAAGTTTACTTTATGCGTTAGTAATTGAAACGATAAGCTGAGCATTTTCACTTTTGAAAAAATGCGCTTAGGGAAGGAGAATACCCACATTTTTGTTTTTATAATACTGTATATAAAATAACTGCCTACAATTCTTTGCATGAACATGTATAATTAAGCTAGTGAAGCGACAAAAAATTATGAAATGTGTTATTTATGATTGTCCACTAAGTTTTTTTAATGTGATCAGATATATACAAATTTATTATGTAAATTATGTTACTTAGGAATGTTTTCTTAAGAAATTTTAATTCTTGTCCCTAATTAGTTGCTTTTCAGTTTTATTAGCATTCCAGTCGATAGAAGAGCTATTAGTGCAGAATCGCAGTCTATTTAAGACCTCTGAAGCTTTTTAATCTCTTTCTCCTCAACATCACTAATTAGACTCACATAATCTCTTGATTGAGAAATAATCGCCGTAGATGCCATGGCAAGCCTAAATCCGCTTTGAGTAATTTGTGTTGCAAATGGTGCTAGGCCCTTTTTCTCGCTTTTAGCCGAACTGAATAAGTTGCCTGAAATGCAAGCAAATCACAGATGCTGAACCTTTCATGTAAGGAATATCTATAAGAATTAAAGGCAAAGGCAGTTACGGCGTCCCAAAATTTAGCTCATTTAGGCAATGATTAGCTCATTAAGTGTGGAAGTCACCTTTTAAATTGGGTATTTGAGGAATTTTTTTAATTAAATTCAGTTTGAAAATTCATCTTGAGTCTGCTAAGTCTTTAATATAGAAAAGTCTGAGTAAGAAAATTACATGCATTTTACTCTTTGATAAATTAGCTAATCTATTTACACTAATTAGTGCAACAAAAATAATGCTTATGTTTGATAATAAGAAGATACACATGTATATTAAATATATTTTGCTTGCAAATGGAGGATAATTTAAATAAAATTAAACACGATATTAATGAATCAGAGTCGGCTGCAGACATTTTGCCGCCCACTGCAATCTCTTGCACTTGTGTTTTCTTTGTGGCTGCTATTTTCTGACGCCCAGCACCTCCGTAAATTCTTTAATGTCTAAAATTAGAAGTGCCGGAGCCCTATGGTAGACCAGCAATGAGGAACAAGAGCAAATAAATAAATAAAATGACTATTAAACTCATTATTAATAATTTAAAAATTAAATAGTTAATTATGATCACATTAATTAATAGCTATTTAATTAATGTTTATTAACTATTAATTAATTAATAATTATTATATAATTGATTACGTATTATTTACTGAAATTATTAAGTAATTAAAGATTAAAGCAATTAAATTAAATGTAAAGAGATAAATTAAAATTTAAGAAGCGATTTTTAATATAATTTTATTGCTAAAAATGAAATTTTCGAGATCAAATTTCTACTGAAATTGTTATTCAGTTACATAAAAGAAGTGCCGCAGCCTTCTTAGTTAGGGCTCCGGCCTAATTTAAGCTCTGGCTGGCCCTGAATGCAACTCCCTAACAACACTAAAACTTTCCCAACAACACTAAAACTTTTTAACTTCTTGAACTACTTGAATTTAATTTCTTTGGGGTGTGGACGTAGATGGTAAAAAGGGAGATCTCTTAAAGAAAACAATACAAAAATGAAGTAATAATAAATAAAGATGCATTATTTTTACAATTAATGGATCATTTTAAATCAATTCGTAATTACACGTAGATATATGCCGTTATATTACTAAAAATAATATTTTGTGACTTTTCGCGACTGAACCAAAAATACTTACGGACCTACACTCTGGGACCACTGATTTAAGCTGATCAGAACTATCTCATGCCTAAGTCTAGTATTACACTTCACATACTTGCAAATGTGTGTGCTTTCCCCTCCAATGAAAATCTAATGCATTATTCAAAAACGTTGTTTAGCTTTATTTATTTGGCATTATATTTTGTTCCAAGCTCTCAAAAAATCAGGTTTTTGAAAGGAAATTTTATGCCTATATAGTGTATATAAGCTTGTGTTTCGAAAAATTCTCAATTGCATTTACTCAGTGGAGTCTGCTGTTGAAATTAATCCTTAAATAAAATGCCAAACAAAATACACGCACCTTATTTTTATTTTTTTAGCAGCAAGTTGTTTATCTTGTTTATATTTCTTTCCTGTATTTTTTTCCCTTTTCCCGCATCTTTGCTTTGATGTCCGAACGAAAGAGAGAAATTACCCCGATAAACATTTTATCCCTTAAAACCGGTAAAATGCTCTTTTTTAGCAGCAGTTGAGAATCCCTTCTTGGAAGTTGGTCCCTTTGGAAACACTCGATAAAACTCAGAGCTCCGACAAGAATCGAGATTTTCTCCTGTCAACGTTTCACCGTTTATTTGCTATCTCCTGTGAAAATGGCTGTGAAAGAAGATTGCGGAAAAAAGAAAAGAAATACGTTGTCGACTTGCTTTCAGTCTTGTTAATGCCGATCTAAGTACATAAGGTTTCACAAACTGCAGTGAAGCGAAAATTCCTTAATACTTTACTTTAATAGACCTCAGAAGTTTATTTATCAATGAACGTCAGTTATTTTCACCTGAAGAAGAAAAAATTTCCTTTTAAAAAGAAAGTGTTTTATCCAATGTATGACACGCGAGAAGTATTCACTGCCGTTAATTTATAAAAATGTGCTTCTAGCGTGTTAATATGTTTAAAGTAAAGTTGCTTGAGGGAAATCAGGTAATTTATAATTTAATATGAGTGAAGGGCTGTTTAAAATTTAGAGATTCAAATAAAATTTCTTTATGTAATGTAACTTTTACTTTCTTTTGGCGTATCTTTCTCTTTTTCCTTTTGTTCCATGATTTTCACACTATATTACTTTTATTCCTTTTTCATGCGTAAATTTTTCGTACTTGCTTTCCAGTTTAATACTGTTTTGTTTTTGTTGGTATATACTGTTAAGATATATACTTTTTATGAAAAGAAAATACAGTTTTACTTTCATCTTCACGCAACACTTAAAATTAAACTGTATTGTGGTTTTCTTACTCTTTATGGACTTGGCTCCTGTGATATGCTGTAAGCTGAATAATCTTAAACGTAATCCTCTATGAACTTGAATTATTTAAAGGAATTTCTCAGTCTTAAATCTCTTATTTTCTGAGCATTGAATATCTTAAGTAATATCTGAATTAATTCATTTTGAAAATAATTTTATTTTATAATCGAAATTCAACACAAATGAACGAATGCTGTTGAACGTAATGCTTCTCAACAGTGATACAAAAGCTTTTGCACACTTCTGTTTTTTCTCCTTATTTTCTTCAAACAGGTATAACAATTTCTGAAACAATGTCTTATCGTACTTAGAAGAATAAAAAACTCTTGAGTGGCCTGAGTATCTTTGTTCTAAAAGCTCGTTTCTTCAAAGAATCGAATATCTTCGCTTAGTGAATTTTACATAATCAAGGAACTCTAAGCGTTCAAAAATCATAAAATATATTATTCATGTTTTATATTCAGTAAAAGTTGGAAACTGCGTCATAATTTCATTTGCATGATTATCGTTCTAGTTTGCGTAATTTTCTTAATTATTTTCAAAGTATTACTTCATATAAATCCTTCTCTAAGGTTACAGTTCGAAAATCAGTAACATATTCTAAATTGTACAAATAATGTTATGCTATTAAAGATTTTTTTGCTTCGAAATTACATTTTTGTAAACTCTAGATAATAAATTTAACCACGAGGAAATGAAGTTGCGGATTTTTCTTTAATATGGTAATTTAAATTGTAACAACGAGGAAATGAAATTACAGATTTTTCTTTAATATAGTAATTTAAAGAGGAATATTGTAAAAGTCTAAATATAAATATATATACATACTGCAAAGTACTGCAAAGTGTACAAAATATTGTTTACAAAACTTCAAACGCTAACTTTCGCTTATAGCATTATCAAAAGTGTGTATAAATTATAAAAATTCACGATTCGATTAAAAAATCGTAAAATTCATTCAGTGGTAATTTTTTAATAAAACTTTTGAAACCTTTTTGACACCCCTTTCTGTCATATAACTAAGGAATATGAATTTATTTGATAAAAACATATTCATATTCAGAACGAACTCACAATATTAATTAACACTTCAAAATCATAATATCTTGCTAAAATGAACAGAATAATAGCATTATCATTGCATGCGATCTTTTGCATCCTTATTAAATTAAATGACTGAAATCATTTTTCGGTGTTTACTTCAAAACGAGTAATTATCTTGGTGATTAACGTTCATAACATTTATTATTTTATTAAATTACTTTCCTAAAGGTAGCACATTCCAGAGAAATGTTATTTTATTCCTATGCTTGAAATGATAAAGTATGTCTTCCTAATTATCTCTGTTAATTAAATTAACTTTTGTTTGTACGAGTTACTCATAAAGATTAAATCCTGGCGAAATGTTAATACGTCTTCTCTGGTATGATAATTTTTTCTTTAGCGTACTGTAATATCATTTATAAATTTCAGTCTCTGTTGTGTTAGATGAAAAGTAAACCTTCATAAACTAATGTTATTAAATTGATAGGGGGAATGTATGACTTTCTGTTCTGCACGTCATTTTTATCTTGAATTAGCTATTTAACGTATTTCATTTTTATATAAAGAATAGAATTATTTAATTCCTGTTTATGTAATTTTCAGACAGATTTCGTTGTTAGTGTAAGGGGGATTTTGAGTGATTCCTTTTATTTACGAAATTTCATCTATATTTATAATTTTTTTAATTTGATTATCTTTCAAAAAATTTTAATTTAAATAAACTATCAGCTAATTTTTTCACCTTAAAATAATTTTATATAATAAAAATTTTTAATACAGCGCCGCATTTTTGCCTATCGGCAATTTTCGGAACTATTTTTTTCCCTGCGGAATCTTTTTTTCTTATGTCGTAATTAGTTCATTTACCAATTGGGAGCATTCCAGCTGATAAATCGGTTTACAGATGCTTGAGTCAGTTTAAAAAAAAACACCCTGTATTAAAAGAAAAATATTCTGTATCCCATGTTCTATATTTTATACAAGGAGTTCTATATTCTGTAGAGTGTACCTAAATATGAGGTATTCTGAAGTAAATTGCTAAATTAGGTAAATAGTCGGTTATTAGGTATATAAATCTTGAACTGCCAGCTGGCAGTTTAATTTTAACTGAAAATGAAAGTTTTGTACTTTTAGTCGATATGCATTTTGTGTTTAGAAAAGCACGCATTAAAAAGTAAAATGAATGCGACTATCGTCGGTAATGTTGCTTGTACTGATATATTTAAAATAAGTGTTACATTTATTGGATCAAACGAATTTGAGATTGCTCATATGTAAGAAATAATTTCTTCTTATTTTAAATAAAGCAGTATGAATGTGTTATCGAGATAGAAGATCCATACGTTTGTAATTTTAGCGAAATCAGTTACATATAATTTGCAAAGAAAGTTTTTTAAATATTACTTTATATTGCTGGTTTGTGATCTTGTGCCTGAAAAATTACACGACACATTTTAATTGGTTTTAAAACCTACACTATTTTTCTTTGTTATTTAACGAGCAATTATTATTTATATAACATGCTGATTAAAGTATTTGAAATATAAGTGTTTCATAAAAGACGACGGGTTCAATTTTACGCTACATGAATAATTGATACTGACCAAGTAAACTTATGATCAAATGGATACTACATTGGTAGCCGAATTTAGTCGTACATTATTTATATCCATATGGCCAAATATGACTTTCCGGGTAGTGCCCAATTTCGAATGGTGACCTGATGTATTACATGCATTTGCATGAATTATCAAGCAAATTATGATGAAGATCTCTAGATTATATATATTGTATATGTCACATGGTCTTCATTACGTGTCCAAGTATTTTCACTATATTATAGAGGAATATTGTAAAAGTCTATATATAAATATATATACATATATATTTAGGAATACATAGTCAAATAGATAACGAGTTTATTGTAAATAATGTTTTGGTATAGTTTTGTAGCTTTTGAACAAAGCCACGTTTAATACTGCAATACTGATTGTCAAATAAAATTCCAGATTCAGTTATACTGCATCATTGCATCTTGTACTTAATTGGCATTTATAATTTGTACTTAACTTTGTAATTCACTTTTTGTATTTAGAAGATTAAATAAGTAAATTAATTTGAGCTGTATTCAAAGGAAATGGAATGACA